CCCAGTGACCCAACCCCCCCCAAACCCCCCCCCCCCCCCCAGATCTCTATAAATACCCACAAAAAGGGCCACATCACCCTGGGCACAGAGAGAACTGCTCCTGCACTCTGAAGATGCCGGTCACAGGTGCTGGCGAAACGTTAGGAAACAAAACTTCAAGACCACGGCCACACAGCCCGGAAGACCCACACCAGCCAACAGGACTACAATCTTCTTTTCAAGTATCTGAGTGACTGCTAACATTTTCCTCCTTTCATCTATTGGGCAGACACTGCCTATTTCAGTGTGTACTGAAAGTTGCCTCCCTGGTTATTTCAGAAGAAAGCAGGAAGATAAGCCGTTTTGCTGCTATGATTGCCATCCATGTCCCAAAGAGAAGATGTCAAGTGAGAAGGGTAAGAGGCATCATGAACTAAGTTGCATTATGGTTGTGCGGGAAACTGAGTAATACTCTTTTGTCTGTTGGAATATTTTGCTCTTCCAAGAAAGAAGGGTTCCCTTACCAATTGAAAGGAAGACTTCAGAAAAAGAGTTGGCTATGGCTCAGCAAAAATTCATGCAATTAACACAGTTGATAAAAATAATATTGAAACTCCAAATTTCTCTTACGTAGGAATTGCCTTCTCATTTCTATAATTATGCATCTTTCTATCTCCCACAAAATCCTTGCCATATTATTGAGATGGAAATGTCCTGATGATAGGAGGAGAAGAGGCAAATCCTTTCCTCCTTTCTTTGAGTATAACTTGCATTTGTAGATATGAACACTCATTTTATGCCACAGGAACCTAAAAATGAACAGAATTAAATATAGATGAAATGATAGCAGCACAATCCTAGTATATTTGTTTTTATTTATATTAAGTTCAGCAGTACTATTATAAAGATTTTGGAGCAGATTGTATTCCATAAAAAGATGCAACAGGAAAACCAGAGAAACATATAGTTAAATACACACAGCTGAAAGCACATAGTAATAAATTAGAGATATTAAATAGAAATCCTTAAGAGAGAATTACCTTGCTCACTGTGCTCCCTAAAATCCAAAGACAAGAGTAGAAAGTGAGATGGATAACATCAGGGCCAATCTTGCGGTTAAGAAAGGCATATCAAAGAGCTGTGTCATCATCATCATCATCATCATCATCATCATCATCATCATCATCATAATAGAATAAACACAGAACACACATAGACACATACACACACAAACATACATTTAAATGTATACATATATGCAGGCACATATATTTAATATATGTATATTTAAATTCCAGACATGGATGACTGTTCGAAATGCCCAGAAGATCAATATCCAAGCATGGACCAAGATTCGTGTCTTCCCAAGAGAATGTCATTCTTGTCTTACAAAGAACCAGTGGGAATAAGTCTAGTAATTTTGGCAGTTTTCTTTTCTTTCTGCACACTGGTGGTACTGGCAACATTTTTGAAGTATCACCATACTCCCATCGTCAAGGCCAATAACCAAAATATCACCTACGTTCTACTCCTCTCCCTCCTTCTTTGTTTCCTTTGCTCACTGCAGTTCCTCATTGCCCCTGGCAATATAATATGTCTCCTCCGACAAATTAGTTTTGGCATCATCTTCTCCGTGGCTGTGTCTTCTGTGCTGGCAAAAACCATCACTGTGGTTGTGGCTTTCATGGCTACCAAGCCAGGATCCAGGATGAGGAAATGGGTGGGAAGAGGACTGGCCACCTCCATTGTTCTTTCTTGTTCCCTGATTCAAGCAGGCATCTGCATGGTGTGGTTGTTCGCCTTTCCACCATTCCCTGATATTGACACCCATTCAGAAATTGAGGAAATGATACTGCAGTGCAATGAAGGCTCAGCTACTATGTTCTACTGTGTTCTGGGCTACATGGGCTTTCTGGCAGTTTGCAGTTTTACTGTAGCATTTTTCTCCAGGAAGCTCCCCAGCAGTTTCAACGAAGCCAAATGTCTCACCTTCAGCATGCTGATCTTCTGCAGTGTGTGGCTCTCCTTTGTTCCATCCTACCTGAGCACCAAAGGCAAATACATGGTGGCTGTGGAGGTTTTCTCCATTTTGGCTTCTAGTGCTGGGTTGCTGGGCTGCATATATGTCCCCAAATGTTACATAATCCTTGTTAGGCCAGAGCTGAACAACAGGGAACAATTAACTAAAAGAATAAATTATTAATATACAACCCAAACTCTTCTTTAAATTATTTATCTCTTTAAACACCCTTCTACTAAGCTGAAGTACTTTAGTCACTGATTTTGAGAAGTAGAAATATTTGGCACGTTTTCGGTTACAGGAGCAAAGTCTGGTCGAATTATCCCATGTTTAATTTTAACTGAAAATCTGAGAAGTTAAGAGGGCATGATCCTCTTTACGTATGCAGTTTAGAATAGATTATGAAAAGAAATTGAGTTGATTCAAGTTTTTGATTAAGGCTCAATCTGAAATATCCACACACACACAAACACACACACACAGTCTTACACAGACACTGTTCATGTATTTCCCATAGCTCATTGCAGGAAAGCATGAAAATACATGGTTCTGCATCACTTTTTGAAATGATGAGATTTTTTTATAAAAAAAGGAGTAGTGGAATCTCCTCTAGAGGACATTAACTCTGCCAGGTTTCAGATCAAGAGCTTCAATGGCCTTAGTGAACAACATATTTGAAGCATTAACCAAAGATACTAGGGATGAGGGATAATACATCACCAATTTGACCTGAAATGAACTTCAGTTGTACCGAAAAGATTCAGCAACCCTTCTAATCCCAATTTTAATTTATTTTTCTGGAGTCCTAGTCTTTAAGGCTATGCTGCAATCAAGATTTGAAGGGAAAAGGGTGATTGGGAGCACACATGAGTGCACAAATGGTTCTCTCTCTCTCATTCTCTCTCTCTCATACTGTTATATGCTATCAGATTTATTCCTGTTAATTTTGCACTTGCATTCAGATTGTGAGGAGTATGAGAAGTGGGTGGCAATGCAGATCAAGTGAAGACAGTTTTGGAGGCTGCAAAGCATTTCAGACAAACTCCACTGTAGATATCTATTGAGCACACTAATCTTGATAGCTTTACTCCCACTGTTGTCACATATGATTTGTAAATCTGACATGAAACTTTGCATTATTGATAATCCCCTCCCTATTCAACACAACTATTTCCAATCTGGTGACCTCATTGTTGGTTGCATTACTTCTGTTACCTTCATGCCTACAGACCTAGTTACCTTCTGTGAAGATCCCCATTCATGTATTGGTGAACCAATGTAAGAAATTAGTTTTCTTTTCAAGAATGCAAATTTAATTCATATTCTGAGATAGTCCTAGTCTACACACCAGTGTGAGTTACCATGTTGCAAATATAATCTCTCCAGTACAGATACATACATGATCATGACTGGGGCTTCTAAATGAGATCAGGTGGAACTGTTTCTGCATGTATTTCTATCATTAAGAAATAAACTAATATTCAATAGTTGAAGATTTTGAAATTCTTCCAGCACATAGAATGATGATATCTTAACTCACTGACAGAATTTGATCACAATAATAGAAACATTCAGTGAAAATACCAGCACTTTGTAAGTATGGAAAAAAGGAAAAAAGAAAAGAAAATGAAATGAAAATATTCCATATTTTTATAAGATGAACTGAAAAGTTGTAAAATTTGTATAGTTGTAAGTATGTTTTTATAGTCCATGTTTTGTAATAACATTCATTTTCTCATAAATATCCCTGCTACTACTGTGTTATTACTGATAGAAAACAATATTGCAACAACTTTATGCTTGTTACCATTAAATGCCATCTTTTTGCTAGGAAAACATTTGGATTTTTATTAATCCAATTTGTGTTTATATTGCCTGTTAAAATAATGCAAGGAACTAAAAACATATTTATTCATTAATGTTTATTGTTCCATAAACTCCCTAGACACTGACATTGATTAATTCAGTTGTAAAATGCTTTCATATGGCAAATGTCTTCAAGCATTTCCACCCTACAAAGCCTTTTAAACCAGATTGGAGCCAATCTTTAATCATTTCATCTGCTTTCCTCAAAATACCAAGAGCACCCTGGGAAAACCGTAAGCCAAACAGTTTCCTCTCCTAAGAAACAGCATGAAATTTCAAAACCTCTTCAGCTATCATAACTGCTGGAAATTCAAAGAATTCCTGTTGCAGAATCAGGAAACAGCATGAGCCAGAAAAATGTGGACTCAGCCCTTTAAAGAAGCTGATGTCCTGAGTACTAAGGACCAACTGAGAATCAATTTTCAATAGTATCCATTGAGTGACATTCTGAAAGCACAATTGTTTTTCATAAGATATAGGATATATATAGATTACATATAATTCCTACTGCATAGCCAGTACATTTTTTCAGCATATTTTGGCTTTGCTATTTGCTGTGAAGGAGATCAATGAAAATGTTCAGTTGAAATTGTCAGCTTGGGTTTCAATTTCTCAGAGAACTACAATGGAAGATAAACTATAATCTTGTTACCCATTTGTACACAAGAGCAATAATGTCATTCCTCCAATTGTCAGGTACCAATGCAGTTTTCACACACATATTAAACAAGTTACACAGCCACTCCATATGCAAACTATATCCATTTTAACATATATCTAGTTACCTGAATTTTTTTAACATTTCACAGCATTTACGACTGCCCTTTCATCCATGTTTTTTCCCTGGAATCTAACATTTATAGCATTTGTTTCAGTTCCATTCTTTGTCATATCTCCATCATTTCCTTAAAAATATTTGAAATATTCCTAGCGTTCCTTAATTTCAGTTTAATCCCAAATCATTTTTTCCTTTTTATTATTTCATTATTTTCACTGTGCTGGAATTTCTACATCCTCTTCCAAAAACCAATATATTATTTCCACCAACACTTCCCAGCATCTGTTTCTTTCCATTTTAATCTTAACCCATTCCTCTCTACATATTATACAAAATATTTATTTCATGGTCAAATATTTTGGCAAGACTCTCTTCTGTGCATTTTTCATCACCCATAAATTTTTACTTAATAATTCCTCCAAGCATCATTTTTGTTACTACCCATTAGTATAACTACACACACTTCTGTGCTGCTCAGTATAATTCTTTTCATTCTCTTCCAAGCAGTTTCCACATCCTTTTGTGTTACATCTGCTTTAAATGTATTATTTGGATGTGGGGGAGGGAATAATCCAATTTGTAAAACTGGATTGCTTGGCTGAATGTTTTTACACTCATAATTATTCTAAGGTCTCAGCTAAATATCAGGGAAAATCATATTGAAAAATAAGAATAGTAGAATGCCCCTTTTCACTTTTGTTCTATCATTCTGACCTCTGATTTAAAATTTGTATTATTTTGGATTGAATGTTTCTGTGAAGTCTTCACAGCCTTACCACCGTTTCACCACAGTGAACATTCAGAAATTTCTAGTTAATTAACAGTGGCAAGCAATATTAATTTATGCAGACAACATTCTGTTGTGACACTCCCCATGGTTTACGGAGGAGTTGAGGGTGCTGAAGAGGGTTAAGAGATGTCTAGAGCGCCACTGGAGGAAAACACAGACCGAATCTGACCGAACACATGTTAGAGACGCTATTAAGGCCTACATCGTGGCGATAAGGGCGGCGAAGCGCCAATACTTCTCCACCCTTATTGTGTCTGCAGAGTGCCGCCCGGCGGTCCTGTTTGGAATCACCAGGTCTCTCCTTGGTAAGGGGGATGTGGTGGTTCATTTGCAGGGCCGCACGGAGGAATTTGCAGAGCACCTGCAGGTCTCTCCTTGGTAAGGGGGATGTGGTGGTTCATTTGCAGGGCCGCACGGAGGAATTTGCAGAGCACCTGCAGGATAAAATCGCTCGGATTCATTCCAAGTTGGACTCTGAACGTGGTGCAGGGTCTGGGGAGATACCAGGGGATCGTTTTTGCCTAGTTATCTGGGAACGGTTTGATCCTGTCATTCCTGAGGAAGTGGACAGGATCCTCCGGACTGTGAAGGCCACCACTTGTCATCTGGACCCATGCCCTCCCGGGCTGGTGAAAGCAGCTCGGGAGGTGACATGTGGTTG